AGAAATGCAAAGACCCCGCTCCAGACCTGCTAATGAGAAACTGTGCAGTGTGGCCCCGAAATCGAGGTTTTAGGAAGGCCTCCTGATGCCCCAGCCCCTCAGCGGAGTCTGACTGAGCTCGTTCAAATGAGAGGACGCGTGCCGACTTTTGTTGACAGACTAGTGTTTTTAAGCAGTTCTCTTGACCTTTGTCCGGACGGCACAGCTGGTTCTGCGTCAAGGAGGGGTCTCCTCGGCAACGAGAGGACGGCACCCTCCGTGTAGGGGGGTTGCAGGAGGTGCCTCTCGCCCGGCTCATGTGAGAAAGGATCCTGAGTCACTAAATACTGTTTACAGAGCAGGGGATCCAGGAGGCCTCCTGTTTTGTCCCACTTCTCATGCCATATGATGAGCGTCTGTCTAACATGAGCCTCTGCAGCGTGGCCTGAACCCAGCTGCTGTCACAGAGAGGAGACGGGAAGGATACGCAGGAGAAATGCAAAGTCGAGATGGCGGGACCGTGTGGGCATAGCCAGGCCTGGCATCCTCCTGCCCCTCGTGAGCACGCTGACCTGACTCACGCCTTTAAGCGGAACATCTAGTGTTCCTCTGGGCTGGGAGAAGGGAGAGGCGCCTGTGTTAAAAACTGGGTGGGCTGCATTCTGCCTCCCATTGCACCAGACGGTAGCAGAAGGTTAGCAAGGGCACACAAGTGGCAAAGGTCAAAATATACAAATAGGAGCAAAACTGGAATACTTCTGGGGGGGGAGGAACAAGCAAAATAAACTCAACAGGTGCTTTTATTTCACCTTAACATTTTATAAAATTAATCTTAAAAGAGAGCATTAATTACAGAGACCCAAACAGGTGACATTGGCTCGTAAAACCAGAGTGAAGTTCCCAGGCATTGCACGGGATCTGGGTGTACGTCATCCTCTTGCCGTGTTCATACCAGGCCAGTTCGGAGTCCACGGCGTCCTCGTTGCCACTCCCAGTGGCCAGATCGAGAGGTGTGTGTGCAGCTGTCATTCGTTTTGACTCAAGGAGAAGTTGCCAGTAAGATTCCAGTTTAATAAGATCCTATCTGATCTTTTCTTTCCTTTATCCGTATAACGGTCTATCAAATCTGGCCCTACCTCATGTCCGCCCAAACATGGCTAAAACTGGTAGGAGGAGACAGAGGCGTTTTTCCGGTTCACAGCACAATTTCAAGGAATTCTCAGATAGCAAAGAAACACAGATAGATTTCAAAAGTCCACATGCTGTCTCATTTTTTTATCTTCTCTACGTCACCAGAGATACCTCCAACCATCAACGCAGGAGGATCTCTAGGCTACTTCTCCTGAGAAACAAATGGTCACCTTCTGCCCATTCAAAATATCCAAGCTAAAGATGCTAGTAAGCGCAGGAGAGGTGCTGGCCTCTGAAGAATTTGAAAATATCCCCCAGATTGATCCCCGGCACTCCCATTCCGTTCCACCGGATTATCCTATAAATATGTTTATTGAGTGTTGTCCTTTGAGACATTGTATTATGGAGTTCTTCAGCCTTGCCATCTTCTGCTTGTCCCTCCCAACGGGGAGAAGATCTGATGCGTCCACTCACGACCACGAGGAATCTCCCAGAACCTTCTAGGAGGGGAAGTGGGCCAGGTCAGGCCTGTGCTTGGCAGCGCTCAATGCTGATTCTAGTCTGCATTCTCGTTAGGAATAAACGTTTTTGAGTCATACTAGTTGGAAACCAAAGAGTTGCTGGATTGGTCTGTTACTTAGAGCTCAAAGTGCTGCAAAGGACACTGGGTTATGTAAGATCCCACAGAGGAGAGCCTGCCTGTGTGCTGTGAGGTCAGGGGCGACTTTGAGGGCAGGTGTATATCCTGGTGATCGATCTGAGTCGATGCGTCGATGTTAACCTGGTTATGCACAGGGACGAAGTAGGGCTGGATAGAAAGCACTTAGGCTGCTCGTGTGAAGCCGCAGCGTGCATGGAAGGAGCAAGAAGGTGACCAAGAGGATGAAGCGCAGAAAGTTAAGGGGAGAGTGGATGGGGTTGAAGAGGAAAGGTGGGGGCCGCACCATGCAGGCCTTGGGGGGGTGGGTGCTGTGCATGTTTTATCCTGTGGGTCCTGGGCCGCTCTGTGCCTCAAGGCTACTGTGGTACCGCAGGCTCAAGAGCAATGCGGCCTGTTGCCCAACTGCTCTTCCAGGCATGGGCCTGGCCCTCCAGAGGGTGGAGGTGGAGACGGCCGACATGTCCCTGTGCTCAGAGCGCTCTGAGCCCATGTTACGCTCTTGGCACAGGGGTTTGGCTCACTCGCAGAAAGCCTGTCTAGCTTCATGACTTGGAATAATCATGTAATGACGTCAACCTCGCCCGTCCGGATCATTCTTTGAAATGCCTCCTGCTATCCTATGGCAAGCTGCTCCCTGTCCCGGGGGAGGACCGGTGGGGGTAGAGCTTCAAGCAATGGCAAGACTTCCTCCTTGTTCCTGCTCAAAACCCCCAGCACCCAACTAATAAGGCTGGACGAGAGGAGCCTCATCCTGGTTACCTGGACACGGTGGCGTTTTTCCAGAAGCTCGCGTGCCCTTTAACAGTGTGTCAGCATGGAACCTGGGATTACAAATTAGTCTGTCCTTGACTAATACTTAATAAGCTGTGTACTTTGGCATTCTCTTGTGGGCCCCCCTTGGGACATTGCTAGGTGTAGAATTCAACAAATACTCAGTAAGTGACACCGAATGGCAACCAGAGTTGCGTCGGCCCAAGTGGTAGACCAGTTGGTGCTGCACTTCCTGGCTGGTGTCACATGCCTACGTGTATGTGGTGAGACATCCCGCTGCCAACCACCCTGAAGTCCCTGGGCACTGTTAGTGCCCCAGACCACTGTCTGAACACCAGCCACCTGCCCTACTCATTCTATGGAAGCCACCACGCATGGTCATTAGTATGTTAGTATATGCAGGAGGTTAAGTGACACCTTCATTAAAGGGATAATAGAAGCGAGAGACGGAGAAAGGAGAAGAGAAAGAAAGGGGAAGGAGAACAATAATAGTAATGACATGCACCATTCATCAAACACCCCCTCTATGCCAGATGTTTTACAAACGTTATTACTCATCATGACGCTACGAGATTACATTACTCCCACTTAACAGATTAGAACAGTAGAGCTCAGGGAGGTTCAAGGACTGTCAGATCTTCATCATCAGAAAAAAAGCAGACCTGGGATTCACATGAGACCGCTGCGCCGTGCTGCTTGCATGCAGGGGGCGGGGAAGCGGCAGCGCTGGGAAAACAAACGCTCAGCTGCTCTACGCGGAACGTCCGTATACCCAGCGTGTGTGCCATGCGCACTGCCCACAGCACTTGGTCAACATCTGTCTGTGTTTCTTCAATATCCTGCTCTCCCTCTCACTTCCCTCCCAACCCTGCCCTAAGAGAAAAGATGCGTTCCAGATTGCTGCCCCCACCTCCTCAACGTCTCCCCCCCAGTTTCCTGTTTGAAAAATCCTCACCGCCTCGGGGATGGTGGGAAGTCAACACTGGACAGTAATGGCCCTCCCCAGAGATTTCTGTAAGGATTTCGGAGCCAGTGTTGAGTGGGTGAGCAAAACCATGGCTTCACGCTTTCCAAAGAACCTCAGCAGACTTCCCACAGTGGCCAGGAAGTGGGGGCAAATGAAATGACAGCTTGGAACCCCGGAGGCCTTAACCTCTCCCTCTTAAATTAATTGAATGCCATCCTTTCAGATGACTAGAGTCTTCGTTCCCTGGCTGGTGCTACTAGGACCTCAAGTCAGTAGCCTGTCTCAACATACAGAGATGACACTACGGATGATGGTAGTGTGGGTGACAGCAGTGGGGATCAGAGCCCCGATGAAGTCCCCAAATCCTCCAGGCGAAGGAGACATGCGCTCAGGAAGGAGAGGTAGGAAGACCTGAGGCCCAGTAGGAGCCAGGTCAGCAGCCAGGAATGCTCTCCATCGAGAAGACTGAGGATCCGGTCGGTCCTGCGGGTAGGTGCGTGAGCACCTATCCTGGCACTAGGACGTATAGAGACATGTAATGAGCTCTCTATTCACCAGAATCTTCCAAGGAAGACACTACATGTAGGGGACCCAAAATTCTAAGCTTGAGGTAAGAGGAGGGAGCCTCCAGGGGACGCGGTGGAGTCCCAGTAGGTCATGGCCAAGCTGCTTTGTAAAAGACTCAATCCTGTTAACTGCAAAGGCTTTCCTGGTACAAATGAGCTGTACAAGCTGGGGACAAGCAGGAGCAGCCACTGCTCACTGTCACATGTCCTCCTCCCATGTGTCCGTCGCCCTCATTGCTTAGAAGGGTGTCTGGTTGCTTTCCCTGCCCAGAGTGGCCACATAGCTCTCTTCAGCCCTGATGATGGGCAAGTTGCAGAACATACTCTTATAATATCGTCGTTGGCATCTTTGTACCCTTTAAATGTCAGGGCCCTGAAAGAAACCCCCGAAGACCCCCTGGTTGCCACCCTCTGCCGGGAATTGGTGTGCCTGACTCATCACACCCTCCCTCCTTGGGTGGGTACCACTCGGGGCCAGGGGCATCAGCGAGACTGCCAGCACCCTGGGTGCGGGCCACAGCTGACCCGTGTCGGCAGCACCATCTCCTCTCATACCTGCACGTGGTTGCATGGGCAGATACAGGATTCCACGCACGAATGACTGGATGAATGTAGGAGTGAATAAATTTGCAAGACAGCAAATTTGCTACCTGGGCGGTGAGAGAGGAAACGGTCACTGGAGGAACATTTTTTTTTTCTCCGTGTAAAGCAGGCACCACTGAAAGGGGAACCCTCAGTCGGGATCACACTCTATGTAACTGAGCTCTTCTGCCCAGAAGGGCACATCATGGCACGGACGGAGCCGTCCTTGCAAGGGCCCATCACTGTGGTGACTACGGCCACGCTCCCAAGGTGCTTCTAGAGAACAGGTCGCCAGAGATTTCCACTGACTTGTTCTTTCTTTCTTTTTTTTTTTCTTTTTCAGATTATCAAGGAGGTCCCTCCGCCCCCCGCTGAGGAAAGTGAGGTAAGTGACTGGAGCTGGGTGCAGCCAGGTGGAGCGGGTGGTCAAGTGGAGCAGAGGGCTGGCGGGGCTGGCCCAGCACTCAGGCCCCCGCAAAGCAGAGCTGAGTCGGACCCAGGCTCCCGCTGCACCTGAGGGAGCAGCAAGGGCAGCCTTGGGTCCTTCCCGAAGCTGAACCGGCAGCCGCGGACCGAATGGTTTGGGAGGGTTCTCCACCTGCAAAGGTGCAAACACAAGGATGCTCCTCGATACAGTTTTCTCCTCTAAGACAGGCCCTTTAGGTTTCTCTCTTCCCTGCAGGGACCTATGCTTCATGTACGTAGATCAGGGCACATTTGATACATTCTCCAAACAATTAGGGATTCCAGGAACAGCCCGCTGCGGGGGTATTCCATTTTTCTTTAAGACAACGTTACCTAAAGATTTGCCAGGCCGTAATAAAAATATATTGGCGGATATGCTAATATGCTGAACTTGCTCTCCTCAAATCCTCATCATTTAAAGGAGGAGAAAACATCTTAGACTCTGCCACAAATTGGCCACTAAGCAGTTCTGGTGCAAGCTTGGCCTGGGGTAAAATCTGGCAGAGACGTTAAAGGCTGCTGGTGAGAAGGAGCACCCCGGGCAGGAGCGCCCCGCTGAAAGCTTCCCTGCTCCTCTGAGCACTCCCGAAGCAGCGGGCCTCCCGGGATGCGTCACTCACCAACCTAGAAGCCAGGGTACAGGACTGAAAACGTAGCGGAGCCAAAAGCTAGAGACGTGAGAATTCAAGTTCATTGCCCTCAGTCCCTCAAGTCTGTGTGCGCTAACCGAGCGCAACCCCCTCACCGTTCCTGTTCCCTGTGCCTTTGTCCAGTTGCCTGCAGACAGAATAATGATCGAATTTAACATTCCACGGGGCTGTTCTCGCCTGAACCATATGCTCGTAAGCCAAGGGATTTAATAGCTGCAATCAATTAGAGCACATATTGCTGGAATGCAAACTTTCTGCCCAGAAATCAAGGGAGGAAATTACATTGCTTTGCAAAGAGGAGGGAGGGGGGAGAAAACCCTCTTTACATCCACAAAGGCTTTCTCTTAATCCTCCAAGAGAAAGCACCATGGCGAGTTCCACTTTGGCTGTGTTTCTCTTGTGTGCAGCTGTCTCGTGCTCCCAGAGGGAAATAGGGCACGAAGCTTCTGCTTGATGAAGGGTCTGAGGTGAAGAATGTGCCCTCCCCCTCCTTTGTGTTCAGTTAAGGGCGTTTAGTTGTCTCTCTTTCTTCTGGTGCTGACTTCGCGTTTGCCTTTGGAAGGTGGCCTGGCAACCGCTGTGGTCGAAATACGTGGGGGGACTTAGGTGCGAGACTGTGGGATGTGACTGACCCAAAACCACCGAATTACAGCTAATAGTTCTATAGAAGTCCTGCTTTCACCTGAAGAAGACACACCTGGTTTCTGAAACAGAAGGACAACCTTGGGGGACTCGAGGTCTAAAGGGTTGTGTTAGACCTGAAGGGTCTGGCCGGGGCAGGCCGCAGGCTGCGCTGATGATCACTCAGCCTGTGGGTTGGCTCTGATGGTTCCTTGGTGTTGGGAGTCAAGCAGCCCGTATCTCCTTCTTTTTTTTTTTTTATTTTTTAAAGATTTCTATTTATTTATTCATGAGAGATACAGAGATAGAGGGAGAGGCAGAGACACAGGCAGAGGGAGAAGCAGGCTCCATGCAGGGAGCCAGACGTGCGACTCGATCCCGGGTCTCCAGGACCATGCCCTGGGCTGATGGTGGTGCTAAACCACTGAGCGACCCAGGAATCCCCCTGAATCTCCTTCTTAAGACGTTTCAGTAGAGAAAAAAAAAAAAAAAGGAAAGAAAGAGATTCCCCCAGGGAACAGATAACATAATTCAGCCCTACAAAGGATCTTACACCGTGCCCTGAAAATCACGGTCTGGATCTAGACTTCTAGAACCTTCTCCTCGCCAGCTTCCTGCATTCACATCCCACCAGCCCTTCAGGCACAGCTCCTGTGCTACTTATCTCCACAAAACACACCGGAATTCTCCCCATCAGGACCAGTTTTTCATTTCGGCCTCCTCCGCCTTCCAGAGTACGGGACTGACCTTTTCTTCTGCATCAGAGTTCAGGATCATTAGCCACTTGAAGGTCAGGATCTAAATGTCACTAATCTTGGGCTTATCCCCAAAGAGCTTCTCGCAGCGTGTGACCCTCAATCAATGGCCCTGCCATCTATGGGAACGGGTTCAGCATTAATGATCCGAACTTCCATCCGTGCTATAAGCACCAGACCCCAAGGGAGACATCTCTGCTATGTAAATAGCTGGACGCAGAATGAACTCGACTTCCTAACGAGCCCCCTCCTTGGTAGGGGATATCGAAATGCGTGACGTAAAAAAGCGTGAGATTCCGTGCAACCAACACTGATCCTTCTGTTCAAGGAGAAGACCGAGAAAACGGACTTGAAATGTCAAGACCTCGATGACAGCAAGAAAGCTCAGTTTTAACGACCCGGGGGGGGGGGGGGGTTGCGTTTCCTGGGTTGAGTCTTCTCTAATTGGCAGCAGAGGGAGCAGCGTTCCTCGCAAAGCCTCCAGCTACTCCAACTTGGGGGCGGTTTAAGGGGAAGCCAGTAACGGAGGGCTTCGTCTGCTGCTCTAGTTCCAAGTCACCTTTCATGGGTTCCGGGACTATGTGGGGCGGGAGGGCGAAGGCTGGATGCACAGTAGAGGCATTGACAGCGGGCGGCCCTACAACCAACAGCAAGCCCCTGGCGTTGAGTCACGAGCTTATTTCCAGGTTCGGGACCATGCTCGCTCGTCCTGACTTCTCTGTGGCGAGAACTTTTTAGGCGGCAAAACCAAGCTGTGGGAAAAGCAGCTAAGTTGTGTAGGGCCAGGCACACTGAACCCCTTCACAGCTGGGTCTACAAGGCCAGCCGGAGTAGCCTCCCGTTCTGCAGGGGTTAAGAGCCACGCTACTGCCAGGCATCGTCTCTTCAGTGGACGTCGAACACGCGCTCTCATGCGTGCTCACGCCCACCCACCCCCACACACGTACGCTCCAAGCAGAAATCCTAGAACATGCCCAGAATTCAGTATTCTCTATTCCAATAGTTTTAAAAAAAGGAACACCACTACAGGAAAAAAAAAAAAAAAGGTAAATACAGTCTTCTTCGTGTTAGAATCCAGGACAGTCCTGGCGCTGTCCTCAGTCACTGCGCGGGCGTGAACAGATACGATGTGGGGTCGTGACATGTTAAATGCAGCTCAGACTGGGAAGCTGGTAGCTTAGCCACGACAAAGACAAGGGTCATTGGATTTCTCCGACTTGCCAGTTCGCTGCTAGGAGTTCCTCCCCGAGCTGACACTGAGGGTGACCTCTCGGCTTAGCCCCAGAGACCTCGGAAGAGACGCTTCTACTTGGGGATCTGCGCTGCAGGGCCTGGTGGGCCTGGGAGTTTCGGTGGCCTGGGTCCTATGTCGTCACCCTCACAGAGCACGCTCTTCTATCGATGCAGACAATCTTTTTGGCAGCTTTATTCTTTTTGTTCTCTTCATTTTTCTCAAAATACAACAGTCTCCACGGCGGCTCAGCTGCAGTCGCTTGAGAGAGTAAATGAAGGAACAGACGAATAAAGGGCCCTGGCTTGCCTGTCCCGAGGGCAGGAGCTGGGTCGCGGACCTGGGTCGCAGTTCCGCGGGAGGCCAGGCGCACCTGTGTCCTCGAGCTCAGTTCGGTTACTCGTCCCTTTCTGCAGGCAGAGCAGTGCCTCCGGCCCGGGATCCCGGACATCGGGGGGCATGGGGGGGGGTTGCAATGCAAAAGAGCTGCTGCTCTCAGGGACACCAGCGGGAGGCAGGAGGCAGAGCAGTTGGGAGGCTGGTGGAGCGCAGTGCCGGGTGCCACAGGGCCCCGCTTAGGGCCCCCCTTAGGGCCGGGCCAGTGTGAGCGTGGGCTGGGTGGTGCTGTGGGCCCGGAGCAGGGCTGCTGGGGACGGGTGGGCGGAGCGGCACCTGCCACCTGAGGAACGCACTCGCCTCCCCGGCCCGCTCCTGGTCCGGGCCACCGCCGCCTTTGGAGTTTAAGCACGCCGTCCCCAGGGGAAGCCAGCCCGCCCCGGTGGCTGCAGTGGCTCCGGGCTCCGCGGGATCCTCTTCTGGCTCCTGCCCTACCCCATGTCCTCACCTGCTAACCAGTGCCCCCCTCCCACCCCGGCACCCCGCACAACACCCTCCGAGGCCCAACAGTGCAGGCACAGGTTAGGGTGCAGGCACCCCCTCAGCCTCCCCCCAGGCAGGCCTGGCAGTCGCCCTCCATTCCTGCCACTTGGCTCCCGCGGTGCGGGCAGCCTTAGCCAGCCTGTCCTTGGCGGACGACAGAGGATCGGTCTGTGTGCCGGCGGCTCTTCCCACCCCGCCACGTCCTGGAGGGCAGTGTCACCGGGGCCCAGGACACACTCTGCACCTCATCTGATGTGGAGATTCACTTCAGGTGCCTCCGAGGTTCTTAGCGGGGATGCTGGGGACGGTGATCTCACCCCATCAGCTTTGGGCCACAAGAAAAGACACATCAAAGATTCCCTTCTCTTCTGAAGATTGCAAAACCCTCCAGCCTCTAGAATGTGTAAACAGAGCCATGGTAACTGCAGGGAAATTCTGACTCTCCCGTCGGTCAGACCCTGGGCCTTTGTGTTGTCTTTGCTGTTGTTGTTTGAGCTTGGCAGGCAAGCCCGGGTCAGGGGATGACACGGCAGGCTTGGTGGAGCAGATGAGGCCCTGGCATTTCCTGTTGTGGGAAGGCCAGGGCCTGCTGCACATGCTCGGGAGAGTGGAGACCAGAGCCTAGGGCAAGTCCTTGGTGGGAGGGAGGGCTTGAGGAAGGGCAGGGGACGGGGCATCAGGGACCGGGACAGGACGGCAACTCCACTGGTCCCTTCGTTTCTCCAGATCTGACCGTGCAATGAAAAGGCTCCAGGAAGTGGTCTCCAATGTTCTTAAAAAAAAAAAAAAATTAGGAGACTCATAAGACCATTTCAGTTCCCTGTTGAATAAAACAGCTTTATTTTTGGAGTTTCTTATGTTCTTGGTGCTGCTGTGTTGAGTTTTTGGGTCATAGCATTTCATCGACCTCTCTTGGAAAACTTGAGACCAGCGGTGAAGCCGTAGTTCATAGCTGACCCACAGGCACCCACCTAGGGATCGTTGAGCCCCAGGTCTGAGATACCTGAGATACCTGAGGCTCTGGGTTTAACATCCTAAGCCTTCCGAAATTCTATCAAGAGGCAAAATACTGTGAACTTATATTTGGGGCCCTTTGGTTTTATTACTTTATCACGTCTTACAGTTATAAAGCCTCAAAAATAGCAGTATGAGGGGAGAGAGGTAGAAAAGTAGCCTTCGTGGGGTACCATCAAATGACTGGGACAGCAAAACCCAACGGGCAAAACCCAGACCTTTGCCGACACTGAGGAACAAATGTTCCTCAAATGCAGCTGTGCCACCCAGGAGCTGGGTGACCGGAGTCCCTGAACCGGTCTCTTCCTTAAACAGACCTAATAGCACCACCTACCGCGCTGCCCGCTGTGAGATGAGGAGGTTGATGCATGTAGAGCGCTAGGAAGAGCGACTGGCACATGCATCGTAAAGGCTTCATAATTCAGCTGCTGCTTATGGCAGGTTTGGTCCCCGCTCAGTGACCACCTCCCGTGCGCCAGGCTCCACTCGGGACCTAGGATACCAGGGGCGACGGATCCACTGTGCCTTCACTGCTCACCGTCCCATAGTGAAGGAGGACAGATCTGTTTCTAAAAGGCAGACAGACCAACCCAAGTATTAGCTGCCCAGAGGTTGCCCATGCCCTGGTCTGCTGCGATCATGTCCTTCAAGGCGTATAAAACGTTTAAAATTTTTTTCAAAAGAAGCCTGCCCGTCCCAAGCACAGCAGGTCACCCAGAGAGTCTTCTAATGCGTCAGTGTGTGGCTGCTTTGCTTGGTCACCCCTGGGTCCCTGTCCCGCTGGCCGCTTGACCTTGCTCGGCTCCCTGCCTCCCGTGTGCGAGGCCCCCTTCCACACGCTGAGAGAGTCGGCCCCACCTGGGACTCCACTCTGAGCCCCTGACGCGCCGGTCCCGCCAACGCAGGCTGCGGGAAGCAGGCCTTTGTTCTGAGCAATTTTGGCCTCTTTGGCTTCCTCCTCGGCTCTGCAGAGACTCCTTTTCCAGCTTCCTTTCTTTACCCAGGAGACGAATCCTGCCACCACCCTGTGGCCCGTCCACGAGTGTAGGTGATGGTGTTTTTCTTCCCTCCACAGGATTAACTACAGGGCTGAGTTAAGGAGCAGTTTTGCTAATTATCCTTCCCGTTCCCATCCATAAAGTTCCAAGTTCCTCTTGTTTTCTCCATTCATCTTAAGAAGTACAAGAAGGGCCAACTTCCCGTCACTGAGCCATAAGTTGCAGACACTGAGTTAACTGCTCTATTTGAATGGTTTCATTTCATTTGTTTGTAAACTCAACAGATAATTCTTGGGTACCTCCCGTATGCTAGGTGCCGTTCGAAAGGCTAAAAATGCGATGGTAAACAGGACAAATAAACAGAAGCTTCCATGGAACTTACATTCCAGCCTGGACAGACCAACAGTAAATAAATATGAGGCCATGGTGGGATCCATTATGGAAACTGAAACAGATTGATGGGATGAAGAGACTGGGGCTACTTCAGAAGGACGTAGTCCAGGGAAGGCCTCTGAGGAGCCATAGGAAGGAGCCAGCTAGGAGAAGGGCAAGGGGACAGCATTCCTGGGAGAGCTTGTTCACAGTCCTCAAGACAGGAATATGCTCAGTCTTTGAGGGAAGAGAGTGGGGCAAGCAGGCTGGAGTGCAGGGAGGCGGACGGAGCGTGCTAAGGAAGCAGGCTGGGGAGGCGAGCGAAGGCCCGAGCTTGCTGGGCAGAGCTGGGCTCGGGGGTTTCCTCTGCTGCTCTGTGAAGACCAGACTGGAGGCGAGGAGCACGACAGGGAGGACAGTTAGGGCGCTACTGCAGTCTCCTGGAGAAAGTGCAGGGGGCTTGGGACCAGTGGGGTGGGGTGGGGATGGAGACTTGGGGTCTTCCAGAAGTAAGGTCAACAGAATTTGCTGGCAAGCTGAGATGCATTGGGGGAGAGAGGATGTAAGAGTGGCTCCAGGCAGCGGGGACAACCATAGGAAGAGCAGGTTTAAGATGACGATGTGGGATCCTCGAGATGGTTATTAGCCCCCCCCCCCAAAGACATCAATGTCAAGTCAACATTTGGGTTCAGAACAGTCGGGGATGAAGATATAAAGTCATCAGCTCTAGATGGGATTAGACAGAAGAGGAGGGATGTACAAGGGAACGGCCCCCAGGACTGTGCCGCCACCTAACCAGGTAGTTCTGCTTTGACCCCCCACTCTACGGTTAAGGGAGATAAGCCCAGAGAGGTTCAGTGACTTGTCCCAAGGAAGGCCCCAGAAGCTCTGAGGAGTAACCCAGGCAGTCGACTCCCACCCACTCTGCCAAAGTGGAGGCAGACATGGAGCAGTTGTGCTTTGCCTCCTTCATGTATGGCGATCTTTCTGCAGGAGGAAGACGATGATGGTCTCCCCAAGAAAAAGTGGCCTACGGTCGATGCGTCGTACTATGGTGGGCGAGGCGTTGGAGGCATTAAAAGGATGGAGGTGAGAACACTGCCGCATGTACTCACATCTATTTTCGGACTGGCAAACCGGGTGAAACTGGTGAAGACTCACCCCTGAGGTCTGACGGGGATGTGGATCATTAGGCATCCGGTGGAGAGGTGGCACGTATACCCCGTTAACTGGGCACCCCCATATGTCGCCCACCACAGAGTCAGAGTAGTTCTGCTCAAACTCATCTGCCCAAACCCCCCGATGGTTTCCTCTCTCACTGGAATGAAATCCCAAGTTCTTTCTTACCCAGGCCTGTGGGGCCTTGGCACGTGCTGTCCCCGCAGCCTGGAGAGCTCCTCCCCTAGACGCCCATCTGCCCGGCTTGCTCTCTCTGCCCCTGCAACCCTTCCCCTTTGCCTTTCTCCATGCCCTCCTCTTCCCTGGCCTTCAAAACCCAAAGGAATTGGGGAGTGGGGAGCACTCACAGCACACATCACGCATGTATGTACGATGCCCATTCCCCGGGGCTGTCACACTTTATTTTCTCATTTTGCTTTATTATCCGTCGTTTATTTTAGGTTCGTTGGGGAGAAAAGGGTTCCACCGAAGAAGGCGCTAAGTTGGAAAAGGCAAAGAATGCCAGAGTCAAGATGCCGGAGCAGGAATACGAATTCCCCGAACCTCGAAACCTCAACAACAACCTGCGACGGCCCTCTTCACCCCGGAAGTGGTACTCCCCGATCAAGGTATGCCTGTTTCTACCCAGAAATCCATCATCACGCCGGATAAAACACTTCCATAGTAAGAATCAGACTCTCGACGTGATGAGATACCAAACGAAATTCCAGATTATCACAAAGGAACACATTTCTAAAATCACGGACCTCTGAGAACAGGTACTTACTCTCTCCGTTCCCACAGTATCAATGTTGAGAGTAGGCTGTTTAAAATCACCATGGCAACCTAGCGGCATGCAAGGGGACGGTGAGTGGGGAGACCGGGGTAGTGACCCCGGAAGACGGCCACGCGTCTCTGTGACACCTCCCCACGTGCTCGGTAGGCAGGCCCACTCCCTAACCAAAGTGGCAGCTTCCCCTGGAGGCCTTATCCCTCTCCCTCTTGCCGCGACACGAGCCCATTCCCTTTATCGAAACCTCCTGCCCGTGTGTCAGGCACTGGCCATGGAGCTCACACTCGCTCTCCCAGTCATGAGCAAAACCCCTTTTTTCCTCCACTGTCTCTCTTGCCCCCTACAGCTCCAAAACTTAAACCTCTTAGGCTTATTAGAAAGTGTCCGTGAGCCACAGAGGGTAAGTAATGCTGCCTGAAGGCTTCTTTCCTCTTCCTCTTGATCTTCCTCTGCTTCTACACTGCAGACAGAAACTGGGCCCATTGCAAGGCCCCAGTGGAAGACCCCATGGAAGGGCCAGCTCCCACCACGCACGTGCCCCCGTGCACCCACATGGCTTTCCCCCTCTGCCAACGAGAGCAAAAATAACATTCATCATTCACTACGTTACGTGCTAACCTTAGAGCAGCCCTTGTCCTATGAAATTAAAGGAAATAACCGTATGAAACAATGGAGAGAGGCGTCCTTGGTAGTCGCCCCTTCTCGGCCAAGCTGGCTAGCTCATGCTCACACTAACTGCGGGGTGTTTTCACCTTCGGTTTGCTGTGTTTAAAGCAAGGAGATTCTTTTTTGAGATAGGTCCCTCCCCGCCGCCCCGCCCCCTCCAGGCGATGGCTTGAACTCTGGAAAGATGTGGGCGAAACGTTGCTCGCTTGCCTAACAGCTGTTTGCATCTAATTATTTTCTCATGCTCAACATGCAGTGGCGTGCGTGTGTGTGCAGACAGGAAGGAGCCAAGCAGAGGCTCCGAGATGGACAAGAAAGGGAATTTTCTATTGTGTCGTTTTTAGGAATCTGTACCTTGTGACTAACCCACGACATACTTGGTGACAGCCAGGTTGTCATTCCTGTAATCTTGGATTCTGAAAGAACGTTAATTCTGTCTGAGGAATCCAATTTCTGCTCGAGAGAGCATGTTATTCCTCTACGAACTGGTGGCTTAGGACCGAGTTTTATGAAATAAATAGGGGGACGAACGACCAGATTTAGGAATCTAAAAACACTTGGAACTGGTATCCATTCAAAGCGAGGATTTGTGGCACACCTAGGACGTGCTGGGACCTGCCAGATACTCCGCACCCAGGTTCTCCAGCCTGGATGAGTATCAGCAGTACCCTGAGAGCTTTCAAAATGCAGGTTCCCAGGCCTAATGCCTTAGAGCCTCACAGAAGGCTTTCAAAGGCACACAGGCTGTCACCACGTGCTTACTTTTCCTCATCTGGGGAGCTCCTTTTCCCCCCAGCGCCCCTTTTTTTAACATCCAGACTCCCTAAGCCATAGCCCTGTGTTGCCTCCATTTACTCTCCCCCACACACACACACACAGCCCCTGCTCTTGGGCCTCCGCCCTCGTCACTGTGTTGAGCTGCTGGTTCTCATCGTGTGGTCCCTGGACCAGCAGCATCGGCCTCCCCCAGGAACTTGCTGGAAATGCACATTCTCAGGCCCAACCCAGAGCTACTATATCAACAACTTTGGGGGTGGGGCCCAGCAGGCTGGGATTGAACAAGCCCCGTGAGGACACTGTCACCACAGGTCCCAGCCAGGCTTCTGTAGGAGGGTCCCCGAGGGCGGGAACCTTGGCACCTGGCCAAGAGACCGTGACCATGACCCCAGCCATGTGCCAGAGGTCTCCGCAAGCAGACCCACGTGAGCGTTCACAGCCCGTTGTCCCCTCAGACACGACCGCTGGATTAATGTGAAGTGGGAACTCACAGAGACAGCCAGGTGGCAGTGGGAGCTCTTGCACCCTCAGGCCTAGGGGACCAGGAGGGGAGATGGTGCCATTGGAGCCAGGGGCCAGGAGAGGCCACCCAGTGGGAGCTGTGGCCATAGAGAGGGAACCAGCCATCTAAGCCTGCCCTGCCACCTGTTTTTATGCGACCCACAAACTAAGACTGGTTTTTCTCCTTTTTAAATGGTTCTGTAAGTTCCCCATACTATTCCAGAGTTTGCCTCTAGAGCTACAAAGCTACAAAGCCTAGAATATCTACCTTTTGGACCTTTACAGAAAACGTTTGCAGGTCTCTGTCCTATCAGAATGCAGCCGCTGGAGAAGGCAGGGTCTCAGGGAGGGAACAGAAGGAATGAATGCCCCCACCTCTCCCCTGTCTTGCCTCAGGGCCGTCTGGTACCACCTGTTGGCCAAACCAAAGGAAAGCCAGGTGGTGTTATCCGTAGGCCGTCCGGCTGCTGGACAGAGAGCTGGGAAGGCAGAGGAAGGCCGGGAGTGGATGGGGGCCGGCAGGTCATGGAGCACGACCAGTCTACCCTCTGCCCCGCCGTAAATAGGGAGAAGCCTCCCACTAGTGCCAGACTTTTAAGGGATACTGGGGAGACTCTTTGTTGCCCCCAATGGAAGTGGTCAGAACCATAGACATCTTTAAATGTATCGCACCTGACTCGCTTTTCGCATGCGTTTCCTGAACTGGATGTGGGGAGCGGTGAAGCAGGTGAGCGCATTTGCTAAGCAAGCCCAGTGGGGACTCATGGGAGAAGTCCACCATGGGCTTCTCTCCACCGCTCCCCAGTCTAAGTCAGGGCACTGACCACAGCAACCACACCTCACCCTCTCCTCATTCCAGGCTCATGACCAGGAAATTTTCCGATATTTGGCCTTCATTTTTCCTTTGCTTGGTTTTCACCCCCTGGATTTACAGCACCCCATGCTTCTCATTAAATTCGGACTGACCATTTCAGGCAAGTTAAGTAATGCCCAGCTACATGGCCTCCAGATAGATCAAAACCAGGACTGTTGTCAGGCTTGCTGGAAGGCTTGCAGCCTTTATAGAGAAACCATTTTCTCCCTTTCCAGTAGCTCCTCCACATGACTGGAAATGACAGGAATGACAGCCGAAGGACAAAAGCCAGACCTGGGACGGCCAAGCAGCCCGGCTGCTCTTGGCAAGAGAGCCAGACGGTGAAGGGGCAGAGTCAGCCCGTACTCCTCGCGGGGCCTGGAAGGGGGTGGTCTTCTGTCCTCTTCTTTCGCTGGCAGGCCAGCTTCATCCCTGGCCTCAAAGCACCTTGACCTCGTAACCAAGCAGCGTTTGGTCATGAAACTGCACATGACGGACTCTACGTAGCCCAGGAAGACGCACCAGAGACTTAAGTGTTGTCAGATGGGCTGTTGAAGTCCAACAGACTTTTTTTTGTCCCTCTCTGGCTACTTTTTATAATAGCTCCAAACTTTTTTTTAAACAAAGCCCGAAACTAAAAAAAAAAAAAAAAAAAGAGCAAAACACAAAGCATCTTGGTGAATGTCTGTGAGTGTGTGGGTGGGTGGGTGTGTGTGTCCGTGTTTCCAACATTATTCATTTATTTCTCTTGAGGAGAAGCATGGGTCACAATATTCACCCCGTATTCTAAGGTGTAAAAGTTCCGGGGTTGGTCTGCGACGGGCCTGTCGTTGCGCTACCCTCAGATTCTCTACCTCTGACTAACTTCCAAGCAGCTAAGGCAGACAGACCCGCAGAGGCGACACAGCTGTTGCCCGACCAAAATTCTAAAAATGAGAGAAAAGGAAGATCGGCCACAAACCCCAGGCACCAGGATGCCACATAGACATTCCCGGCCCTGTCTTATTGTTTAGGAAGGAGAAAAAAAAAAAAACAAAAAACGAGCTGACCTGGAACTCCCGTTTGCCCACCCTCGTGGATTAGGTGGTCGGAGCCCGAGGTGTGCTTCGGGAACCTGGAATTGGTAAATGTCTCATGTTTTAGTCAAGATGTGTCCACCTGAGATGAAAGAAATCTGTGCCTGAGTGTCAGCGCCTGTCGTCGGACACGGGTCCTGAGGCTGACGGGGACGTGTTTGTTTCCGCTTCCCGGCAACGGTTGGGCAGTTCTCCCGGGGAGGGGGAGGGACCAGTGTCTCGAAATGCATCCTATGGGGAGGCCCACACATGATGGACACTCGAATCTGAGATAAGCTCAAAGGCCCCTTCCTCCCAGACTTGGGGTGAAGCCCAGGGACTGGTCAGGAAAGTCCCCTAAGGCTTTTCCCACCCCTAAGGGATATTATTAATAACCTCGCTAGCTGCTGTCTTGATGACAGGCTTCTGCCTGCATTCAGGAAAATAAAGGCTCCACCAGCCATCGTTATGCACCTCTTCTTGACCTCAGAGATAAAAAATCATCCTCTTCTTGGTTATAAACACACTTCTCCTATAACTGAACTCCAGCTCTTGCATAAAGCGTCACCTGCTGCGGGAGCAGAGGGAGGTGTCCGGAGGGGCAATTACCCAGATTGTTTCCTAGGCCACAGACGTGGGATTTTGGGCTCATCTGTGGGGCCCCTGCGACTCAGAACCCTGAAAGTATGGCCTCACCTGGGCCAGAGCCGCCCAGTGATAGCAGCTCCTCCGGGGGAAGCACTCGAGTGAGACGCACACTGCAAACCGGACACGGTTCCAAGGGCTTCCCTGCACTCGCCCCTTTGTTTCTCACATCAATCCCCAAAAGCAGAGACGCCTACTACTCCCATTTGCAAATGGCAAGCTAAGGCACTGAGAGGTTAGGTAACTTGCTAGTAAGATGCCTCTTGGTTTATTTTATTAACTGCAAAAAGCATCGATTTGAACTAGCGATGAAATCAGTTATTAATCAAAAAGGAGATGGGACTGGGAGCCTGGAGGCAAAAGACCAACCAGGGAACTGTTGACAGGATGAGTGACAGGGAGTGAGGGCCTGGGCCTAGGCAGCAGCCGTGGAGGCGGTGGGGCAGGAAGGACGAGAAGCTGTGACAGAGACAATGTCCACAAGACATGGTTGAACTTGAATATGAGGGGCTGGGGGAAGAGGGAGGGGGCTGGAGGAGCACAGGACTGAGGATGGGTAAGGTTCACATTATTGGGTTCTTACACTCCGTATTCTGGTCGTTTCCACCTTTCTACACAGCCTCCCTGATGATCATTTTAATGACTTCCCCGTGATCATAAATAACATTTAACAAATCCTTCCAGTGAGACGAGTATCTACCCCCGATACCTGATTGTAGGCCTTATAACCAGCCTACGGGGTAGATGGCAGCCTGGTGGTCCACTCTGAAGATGGGAAAGGGGAGGCTTAGGGAGACGAGCCAGCTTGGCCGAGGCCGCAGACCCGGGAGGGGCAGGGGACAGGCCCAGAGTACAAATGCAGGTGGTCTGGAGTGTCGCTTGGGGCCGCAGTGTCACACCCAGACGTGCGGCCTCCAGGAAACCGGCCCCGGTCCCGATTCTCACGGTGTTACACATCGAGGTGGTCTCTGCTCTTTGACTCTGCATGTAGTTTTAGCTTTAAATGTCTGCAAATATTCTTTCAGCCCCATCTTACTGCTCCTCGTTTGTGAAGCAGTTGAGCGCTTAGCGCAGAGAACGCTGTGGGTGGGCTGATTGCAAGGACACATTCTGGGCGTCCCCCAAACTAGGAAAAGAAAAGAGGCATTCGTCCAGGAAACCCACCTGGTTTTATCCTGAAATATAAATGCTCGTCCCAAAGAGCCTTAAAGGAAAACATCTAACTGATGATTGAAATGGTTTGATGTGGAAAACCATGCTGAACCCCGCAGCAGTCCCATCCAGCTTTCTAAAGTCATTTCAAAATATTTTTAGAGGCTGTCGTAAGTACTTTGCCAAAAGAGATGAGAAACATTACACTTAGCAAGACAAAGCTTAGCCCACAAGAACTTGAGCAACAGTTGACAGAGGCTCGGGAGCAGGCTTTTTCGTATTTGAAGACAACCCACCAGAAAACAACTCCAGGACATGAAGTCTTCAAGATGATGCTTCCGCGAAGATGTTCTGTGTCAAGCGACTTGAGGTCTCCGGACTTCCCCAGCCTTTCGGCACCATCCTGGAGAGACCTCTCCCGGCTGATTGCCTTCAAACGTGCCTCACGGACACCCCAGGAGGAAGTATAGTTTGGCCCAGTATATACCCATGAGCGTGTTGGGTGTGCACACAAACACCCACCCGTGCACATACTCCTACCCGTTTCACTGATACAGATTTGTCACAAAATAATAGTCATCTTCTCCATGTGCAAGTGACTCAAGTATTTTCTTCCCTATTTTATTTCTTAAAAATTCTGGTCCTAGTACACAAAATTGTTCCATGAGGGCTTGAAGAGTTGCAACCGATAATTTAGAGACCCTGTCCCTAAAGGACCTAAGTGCAAGGTCTCCAGCCCGAAGATGTGCACGAAGAAGAATCTACAGTGGTGTAATAGAAAGCGTGTGAGCTTTGGAATCACAGGGCCATGGGGTCCATTCGCACCTCTCCAATTTCCACGCTCTGTGCCTTGGGCGACTGAGTTGTTAGTCTGACCTTCTGTTTCTTCGCCATAATCCTTTTGGACTTTGGCAGAAGACACTTGTGAAAGCACCTGGCCCAGCACTGAGGAGTCATTCATTCATCCAGCCAGTATTTACTGAGCACCAGATGCTCTCCTGGGGCTGGGCATACAGCAGCTGACCAACCCGGTGACCCCTCTGCTTTCACGGAGTTGACATTCCCGTTGGCAGAGACAGACCAGAGGCAAATAGACATAGAATATGTTTACATCAGGGATTAGGGCCCCTGGGGGGCTCAGCGCTGGAGCATCTCCCTTTGGCTCAGGCCGTGACCCCGGGGTCCCTGGATCGAGTCCCACATCAGGGTCCCAATAGGAAGCCTGCTTCGCCCTCTGCCTGTGTCTCTGCCTCTGTGTGTGTGTGTGGGTGTGGGTGTCTCATGAATAAATAGATAAAATCTTTTAAAAAATAAAAAGAATACGTCAGGGATTAATAAGGGCTGTATCGGTCTCCTATTGCTGCTATAACAAACTACCACTAAGTTAGTGACTTAACACAATTTATTATTTTATAGTTCTGGAGGTTAGAAGCCCAAAAAAGATCTCGCCTAAAATCAAGGCGAGGCCAGGGCTGCACCTCTTTTAGAGGCTCTGGGAGAGAATCCATCTCGTCTTTTCCTGAGTCTAGAGGCTGCCCACACTCATTGGTTTTGAGGCCCCCCTCACCCCTCTCCAACCGTGAGCTGAACCTTTTTCACACGGTATCACTCTGTTGGCACAACTTCTCCGACTCTGACCCTCTTGCCTCCCTCTGTTAAGGCTCCACATGGTTCCATTGGGTCCGCCTGCACAATCCAGGATAATCTCCCCACCTCAAGATCCTTACCTTAATCACATTTGCCAAATCCTTTTTGTCATGGAAGGTGGCATGTTAAGGGTTAATAGAGCAAAGCTAAATAAAGGTCATTGTTTCCCTTTAGTATTTGCAGCAGGAGAACTCAGCCTCACTCAGCCTAGCTAGGGAACAAGAATGGCCAGAGGCATTGGACTGCCTTCATCCCACACTCAGGGCTCACTCTTCTTCTTTTTTTTTTTTAATAAATTAATTTTTTATTGGTGTTCAATTTGCTAACATACAGAATAACACCCAGTGCTCATCCCGTCAAGTGCCCCCCTCAGTGCCCGTCACCCAGTCCCCCCCACTCCCCGCCCTCCTCCCCTTCCACCACCCCTAGTTCGTTTCCCAGAGTTAGGAGTCTTCATGTTCTGTCTCCTTTTCTGATATTTCCCACACATCTCTTCTCCCTTCCCTTACATAAATAATAGTGAAAGGGAATATAAGGCTCACTCTTCTCAGATTCAACCCATTTCTACAGTTCCAAAGGGGTTGTGATTTGGGGCAATCCACGATGTTTGTAATCTGTCCCTTGAGCCTGGGATTCCCGAGCAAGTCGTAGGTGCTGAGTGAGCCAAGGGGAGAGCCAGGGATCTGCATCCCCAGGGCCTCTCATTGGTCTTGCTCTGTCAACATTTCTATCTAGTCATTTTCCTGAATTTGTCATCATTGTTGCTTTGGTGAACTCTGGGCATTAAGTGGAAAGAAGAAACTTTGATGAAAGTTGAAGAGGTAGATTTGTGGTGTGGGGATATATCCAGAAATGGTAAAAAGCAAAAGGTTTTTGAACATGAAAGAGCTTCTCTGTGTTTGCAAATCTGGGGCTGCCCCAAAGTCTCCAGTGTCCCCTGCATGAGCATCAGGGCCCTCTGTTATGTGTCTCTTCTCCCCCCAGGCTCCTGCAGCCCGCATTGTGAGCTCAGAGCCTGGAGAGTCACTTAGCCTGTTACAACCACATTGCTAGTGTATGCTGTTCACATGACTGAAGAAGCATGGAAAGTTCTACATGTCTGTGCTGGCCACTGCTCTGGTTTCATTTGTAATCTCGTTGCGTTTGTTGTTTTTGTTCTTTTCAGGGAAAACTGGATGCTTTGTGGGTCCTACTAAGGAAGGGATATGATCGTGTGTCTGTGATGCGTCCACAGCCAGGAGACACGGTAGGATTCATTCATGATGTCACACACACTGTTTTTCTCTGTCCTTCTGACCTTGCTGAACTAGAATAACTCAGATATATCTAGCTACTGTTTTATGTTGTGAGAAATCAGACACTAATTTTCAAAATTCTGGTATCTATGAGACCTTGAGCGTTGACTTGTTTTTTCTGGGAAGGATTTTGACAGAAATACATTGAGTTAAACCTGCTAGGACTTGAGCTTCTTCATCTGTAGGTACAGTGAGTGGAAGAGGTAGGGCTGGCTTTTGCCTCTGCAGCAGCAGTGGCCAGTGGTGACCAACAAGATCCCAGGGCCACAAGATGGAGCGGGGAAATGGGGGCCACAGAAAACTCTCACCGTCTTCTGGTAGCTATTGGGCCCAACTGGTTCAAGACCTCAGGAGGGCCTTCTGCCCTGGTGAGGATTTGCCCCAACATGGTCAGGGCCAAGCTTGGGGTGTCTCCAACTAAGAGGAGGCGGAAAGGGAGGAGCCAGCAGAGACCCTTGGAAACCATCTGGCCCCTCTTCATTCTGTCAGTGAGGAAATGGAGGACAAGAGAAGCTGATAACTGGTTCCACGTACACGGCATCAATGCTGGAAACAACTCCAGTTCCGCCGACATCACGCTATTGCTCTGTCTTCTTGCAAGAGCTGGTCTCTCTTCCCTAAATTTTACAAAACAAAGCTTGGGACCAAGTGCTCCCTGAACTCCCAGCCAACGGCATCGTCCATCCACTTCTCTGGGAGTCGGGCATATTAACCCACAAGCAAAACACGGGCGCCTGGTTTGGAACTCGTTTCACTTCAGGCAGAGAACTTCCTTCTTGGTGGGAAAACCCCAGGCAAGTTACTGAACCTCTCTGAACTTCATCTTTATGAGGTAGGTCAGGCTTGGGCTGGTTGGAGAAGGTAATGTCTGTCAAGGGCTCGGCCCAGGGGTGAACGCGCAGCGATGCTTGGTCAATGGCAAAGATGATGGTGGTTATGGACTTTGTGCTCTTCTGCTGTGTGTCAAGGGTTGATGCCGAAGTTCAGAGCACATTGCAGTGGACGTGCATCAGGGATACCCACTTGTTGGCCCTGCTCACTCTTCAACCCAGCACAACTCATACAACAGAAAAGCACCGTGTATTAGGCAGGCCCCTCTTCCTTCGCGCTCAATTAGCGGGGGGGGGGGGGGGGTTGGCCAAGGGGATTTGGTCTAAAGTTTCATAGCTTGTACGATTAGCTGTCCCTGCCCCCCGCTTGTGGCAGGGGCAGCAGGCAAGTATGACGTGACAACAACCAGGCCATACAAGTGCGGGGCTGACTTGGCCCCTCTGGGATGTGGGATTTGTGTTTTGTCTGTAAACGTCAATAAGAACGCACTGTGATAGCAAATTGTAAAGTACGGGCTCTCCCGTTAACAGAAATGAGCCTGGGCCATAAAGTTTGTCCTCGGGGTGGTATTTGGCTTTATACATCTGGTTTCTGTGGGAAATTAAGAAAAGTTTTTTTTTTTTTTAAGTGTGCATGAGACTCATCAAACATTGAAAAAAAAAACAAAACAGTGAGATACCTCAACTCAGGTTCGGCGGTACTATTTTCTCGTGACGTGATATGTTGGTCAAGTATGCAGGCCCATGTTCTTCAGGGCACCTGAGAAACCTCTCCGCTAGTGATTTGTTAATCCAGCTTGGCAGATTGGCAGAAACCAGTTCATAAGCTGAGTCAACCTGAGTAGTCATAGGGGAGGTTATCGTGGGTAAGACCCCAGAAGCAGCACCCGCTGGCGTGAAACAGCTAACGGGTTAAATGCAACCACAATGGGGCACAATGGGCAGCCCGGATGGCTCAGCGGTTTAGCGCCGCCTTCAGCCCAGGGCGTGATCCTGGAGACCCGGGATCGAGTCCCACGTCGGGTTCCCTGCATGGAGCCTGCTTCTCCCTCTGCCTGTGTCTCTGCCTCTCTCTCTCTCTCTCTCTCTCTGTCTCTATGAATAAATAAGTAAGATCTTAAAAAAAAAAAAAATGCAACCACAGTGGAATGCAAACCGATGGAGGGTCCTCTAATGAATCCCACCTAAACCGAATCTCTTAACCTACTGGTTTTGAACCAAAGTTGAAGATGGTCTCCACACTTTTGAGAAACACAGTACCCCCCTGAGTTGTCATTCTCCAATCGCACAAAATAATAGATTTGAAGGACAGAAGGCCTAAGCACTAGGATGTATTTGGCCGTAGTCTCAGCCCTGTCCCTAACGGATGGTCTGGCCTGCGTGTAAATGGGCTTTCCTTATAGAAATCCTGATAGTTTTAAGGCACAGGGAGAAAGTGATGCAGGGCATCGTGTCCTTGTAGTCGTGACGATGGCCGCAGGCACCTTGATGTCTGCGTGGAGCTTCAGGAGAAAGGTCACAGAGCAGGTGGGAAGGGGGTTCGAGGCTGCCCCGCGGTAACCGGGAAGGAGTTCCAGGGGAGGGACGACTCTGTGGTAGCTTGGTCCACGTGCTTATTCTTTTTTGTTTTGCATAATCCGGGAGACTCGCGACAGATCCGCATCACTTGCTCGGTGATGACTCTGTAAGAATTCCTCAGCACTGATTTATGGGGCTGACCACATTTTCCATAAACTGAAAATGACTACATCCCGGCATGTGCTCGTGAACAAGAGTCACAGGTTCTGAATTCTTCCTTTAAAACAAAAACAAAAACAAAAATCACCTAATTGCATTCTCAGTTGCGTTCTGAATTGTTTCAAACCCATGTGGCGCTCACAGAAGCCTGGCAGTCCTTCCCCGATCCCGTCCGCCCCATCCGCCCCACGGTTAACCCGCCCCAGCCATGCAGACGCACGCGGGGCCACCAACAGAGCCCACGGGCTGAGAGCCTCCAGCCTCCGCCAGAGTTGAGGGCTGGGGATCCCGAGCCTGTGTCCACCCCGTCCCTGGGCCTGGCACCCTCGGCCTCGGAGCTGTCCGAGCTCCCGTCGGGGGGACCGGGAGCAGGGCCACAGGGGAGCCAGGAGCTCTTGGGTCTGCTGCCACCCATCTTCCCTTCTCTTCCTAGGGTGGCCTCACCGTCCTACAGTTCCCAGGTGCCCACCAGCAAGGCCCTGGGCCTACGTACAAGCAAAGTGCCCGCAGAAGCCGTTTAGGCAGCAAACCAGCAACACGCGTGATCCTAAAACATGACAAGCTCACTAAGTTCTTTGCTGAAGCCATCCCCCCGCTTCCAGTGGAGAGCTGTGCTGCACTCTTTCTAGAACACCTGCCTCAGCCTATCGCTCTGGGGCTTCACACTTGCAGAGACCGGGAAAAAGCCCCCCCCCCCCCAAATAGCTTGATTTGGAAAGACTCCCCTAATTGCAAACACAGGGATATAAGGGAACTTCAGAGATCAGGGTCCTTGGAACCCAGTGGCTTTCAGCCTGGTGGCACCTTGTGATCACCTGAGGAGCTTTAAAACCCCGACGTGGGGCGGGGGAGCGCCCGGGGGGGCCCCATCGACGGAGCCTCGGACTCTTGGTTTTGGCTCAGGTCATGATCTCAGGGCAGTGGGATCAAGCCCCGCAGCAGGCCCCACGCGCCGCAGGGAGTGCGCTGAACGTTCTCTCCCTTCCTCCCTCTGCCCCTCTCCCTGGCCGCACTCACTCCTTCTCCCTAAAAGAAAGAAAGAAATCTTAAAAAAAAAAAAAAAAAAAAAAAAAAAAAAAAAAAACCACTGACCCCAGAATCCCACCCCATAGGTTCTATTTTACTGATCTGAGATGATGAGGTCTGGACACTGGGATTTTAGAAGCTCCCCAGATGGTTCTAATGGCAACAGGGTTAAGAACTGGTGCTGGGCTCCAGTTCCCTGTTTTTCATCCGAGTCGGCACCTTCTCCTTCCTTCTCCTTCTCCATCCGTGTGAGGGCAGCCGTGCACACGCCTCCAGAAGCCCCGGGCCCACGTCCGCCGGGCACGCGGGAAACGCACGGCCACCATCTGCGCGGGCTCCCCCCGGGAGGATGGTCCACGTGGACTCGGGCTGCTGTCTTGCAGTGACTCCCGGGGGAAGGGTGGCAAAGAGCAGCTGCAGCTCCGCCTCATGGTTTCTCCTGGGTGCAGTTCAATCAATGCACTGGCCAGTCCCCCCCACCCCCACCCCCCAACCCCGGTTGTTTTTACCTCGGCCGCGGGAGCCATCCCCCCTCACGTGCCCTGGGAGGGACCCACTAGAATTGGAAGTCTTGTCTGTTTTCAGCTCGGGGAGGCCGGGAGGCCGTACATTCCATTACTATCAGCAAGAACAAAGAAAAAAAAATAGCCTAAGGCACAGTCTGAGCTTGTTTTGCGAGGCGGGGCCTGGTGCAATCCCAGGAAGAGCCGCAGGAAGCGGCCTGGATGGGCCCCCGGCTCGGCCCCAGGGCTGCGACAGCCTGTCCGGAGGTGGCTGAGGCCCTCTGAGGCTGAGGCAGGTCCCTCAGGCCCCGGCCCCCCTCCACCCCCCCACCCCCCACCCCCAGGCTGAGGCCGCCACCAGCCTGGCAGCCGGGCTTTGACAGCAGGTGAGGCCCCGGCTCACGGGCTCCTGGGCGCAGCTCGGGCGGGCGCGGCTGTGCCCGGCTCGTCCCCCCCTCTGCGCCCACTGTCCCTGCGGCACCACCTCTGTCCTGCTCCCTCTCTCCCGTGCGCCTGCCCCCAGACACTCTCGCGTCCCACACCTGTCGGGCTCCCCAGGACCCACCTGGGGGCCGCGCGCCCACGATGCCCAGGAGAACGGACTGCGGCTTGGCCTCCGGGGTGGACGCAGGGCTTGGAGGCCGGTGGTCACGGAAGCACACGGCGGTCACGGCAGGTCGGGAATGACGGCGACCTCTTGTTACGGAGCAGAAACTGAGGCTTGGGCGGTGGTTACCTTCCCCGGGGACGCGCTGCCGGGGACGTCACAGGACCCGTGTCCCCCTGAGTGGCTGCGGCTCCCGGCTCTCGGTCGCGCTGCCGCCCCAGGGAATGAAGAGGTGGGCCAGACCAAGA